TCCATAGTACATAACAGCGACGTGCAGTCAGGGGAGGCAGAGCCTCACCTCTCATACTCCAATGTAACGGAAAAACAACTAAAGAAAAACTAAATAGTAATAATAATAAAATGTCTCCACTGATCTGTGTTGTAAGTGTGATTTATGTTTGATTCCAATCGCTTTTTATAGTCAAAATCAACAAATTTGCCGAGCTCCGCTACGGGAGCGATGAGAAGTGAGGCAGGGACGAGCTCTGCCTCTCGTAAGCCCACAGTAACTTGCTGGAGCACGGGCACTAATTTAGCGCGGGCACTTATTTTGTGAGCGTGCTCAAGCCAGTTACTGTGGGGTAAGGTGAGGCACAGATGAGATCTGCCTCACCTCAGAATGCGTCACCCCACAGAAACTGTCTGGAAAGCGGGCCCTAAGCGCATGCCTGTTCCCATCTCACTGTAGGTCACCAATGTAATGTTTGTAGATCCCTTTATTACATTTATCCTCGCCATCCATAGTCTCTAAATAACTTATTTCACGTATATATGATATTTAGGCTCGCTGGTCTCATCATACAACGGCAATGAGAAAGCCTCAGGGGAGGCAGCCATAACCTCTGCCGCACTGCAGGGGGCGCACGTGAGCCCACAGGTTCTTGTTGCTACTATTATTCTACAGAGACGGTAGACGCAAACAACAAACTAGACTTTTGAAACTACAGGAAGATAAGGAGGACTTTTACAAAAAAGTAATAGAGATTGTTGTCCAGAAGGATAGCATGGACTTCATCTTCAAGTCAAGGTAAGACCACATTTCTAATGAAAATGGGATCTTACTAAGAAAGAACAATCCAATATTTAGATTGTGGGTATCCTTTTGTTGAACGGTCTGTTTAAAATGAATCGAAGCATCAGACTAAAAAAGCTTTTGAAAATAACCGAATATTTCGATTAAGGTCAAAATATAATATTTGTAAATCTGACTCAGTGAGTCAGTGCCTCACCAGCCATGAACCTCACCGCACGTCACTGGTACATAATGCATGTTTTTTGCTATCTTTGATGAATGATACAAATAAAATGTTACCATTAGTTCTTAATGAAATTGATACGGTTTGACTTTGTATTGGTAAGCCTACTACTAACAATACATTGAAGTACTTTTACTGTGTATTTTTTGAGAAATACTCTGTCAAAGTCCCCTGCTGAGAACAAAATCAAGCCACTTCTGCTAAGTTTGATGAGGGAATTCTTTTTTGTTGCCATTATTTCTTCATGAGATTGATCCTGTTGGACTCAGTACTACTGAAACTACCCCCACAAGTACTATGAAGTACTTATTGTGTACTTTTCCAGTAATCCTCTGTCAATGTCCCCTCCTGAGTACAAGAATGCATGTTTTTCTTTTAATAAGCGTTCAAAAACCTTTCTTCCTGAGACTGATATTGTTGGACAGAGTATTTTAAGAGGATGGTAGACATGATATCAGCAATACTTCCAGTCAGTACTCCGGCAGCAGCATTTTTACACCTTGGAAAGTCTTTAGAGTCTGGCCTGGAATGGATAGCTGGTCCCAAATATCCTTCAGCAAAGTAACACACTCTGTCACATGGTTGCCCTCTTATGATGCTGCTGTCTTTTAATATATAATTATTCCTCTGCCGCTAGTTCGTTCCTTGCAGATTCTTCAGTCTCATCAGCCTCATCCTTCCATCAGTCCCAGTTAACGCCTCCAGCATACTTCCAGTATCTGACTCCATATGATATTGTCCTGATGCTGTAAGGGTGATGCCCCATGATCACAAAATGACCCCTCTAGAGTCTGAGTGCCAAGGACCTCATATTATGTCTGTCATTAATGTTACATCACCCATTATAACAATGTGCTTTCCTTTTTTCTCTTCTCTTAACTGAATAGTCCTGTCTTTAAGTATAACCCAATGTAAAGTCCTTTTCCTGCACCATTTGAAGGCTTCATAACAGGCATGTTTACTGTATATGTTTGGAGAAATAACACAATCAATGGCCCAGAATTGTACATAATAAACTATGAATCTTGTGGTGCTTGAAGAAATACAGACTGGCTAAGCCGGCCAGGTTATATATATATATATATATATATATATATATATATATATATATATATATGCCTTTTTTGGAGCCCTTTTTTGCAATATTTATTAAAATGTCACTAGTTATTTAAACAAACCACTATCTGAGGATAATACAAGCAACCATAAAACGGCCTTTATCTAGAGAGCCATTGAAGCCCATGAAGAATTTATCCTTCCACAAATATTTTCAACTGTTGTATTAATAAAGTTGCCACGTGTTTTCATATTCAAGTTAAGGCACTATCTGTGCAGAACATTACAAATATTCTTCATTTGCAGTATTTTAAAAGTGTTCAGAAAGACTGCATCAATGATATGCTATATATACATCTATATATCTATATAATATCAATATTGTTATTAACTTCAACCAAGTCAATTTAAATAGCATGCAAAAATGGGATAATTGCCATGGATGTGGTGTTTGATATAGTTTACGTTCAATTTGAACTATTTTAGGCAGAAAAACGTATATTGACTAAACCTTTTTTAATAATTTACTATAATTTAGAAAGGTTTTTGTGAGAAATCATTTCAAAAGTAAACTTCTTTTTCATTTTATATTTCAATTTGAAATGTTTGCACACAACATTATTAATTTATACATTTTAATAAATTGTTTAAATTATGAATCCATTAATTTTATTGTATTTCCTTGAGGCTGGGGAAGATATCCAGCATGTGGTTCAACATGTAATACAAGTAAGTATAAGTACAACATGGAAAAGTAAATAAAAGAAGTTTAATAGGAGGATGTGGATTTATTTTCTCTCACCTTGTAATTACACAATCAAACAATCTATAATTTAGCTCTGACCTTCACAAAAACATTTTGTTGAATTGGACACATTTTTCGAAGCTCTATTGACAGACATGCAATGACTGGGACTGATGGAATAATCTGAGAGGAATGAACTAGGAGCAGAGAAATAATCATATTTAAAAGACAGCAGCTTCATAAGAGGCCAACAAGAGTCACAAGGGTGCGTCACTTTGCTGAAGGATAGACCAGCTATCCAGGCCAGACTCTAAAGACTTTCCAAGGGGTAAAAATGCTGCTGCCGGAGTACTGACTGGAAGTATTGCTGATATCATGTCTACCATCCTCTTAAAATACTCTGTCCAACAATATCAGTCTCATGAGAAAGGTTTTCTTTTAACGCTTATTCAAAATAGCAGAGAAACATGCATTATTGTACTCAGGAGGGGACATTGACAGAGGATTACTCAAAAAGTACACAGTAAAAGTACTTCCTTTTATTTCTGGTAGCAGTCAACTAGTACCGAGTCCAACAGTATCAGTTTTATTCAGAACGTATGGTAAAAAAATATTTGTATCACTCATTGAATATAGCAGGAAAGAAAATGAAGAGCAGCTGATTGACCGAGTGCAGAATCGCTGTATAGTTTAAATCTCCTTAGTTACAATGTTGTCCATTTTAGACAAAGGCTTATTATATTTACAGCCCTAAGAACATTCATTTTCTGGGCTCAATATGTGTCTTGGCTGTTTTCGTTGTGATCGCTAAATTCACCTTGTTTATAATATTATCACTATAACACTGACCCAGATCGCTGGATCGCTAGAAACACCTGTCATCAGACTGGCAAGGGCTGTTCCATGCTCTGCTCAACCTCCCGCCTTCCCAATGGACTCAGTAGCGCCCCCTGCTGCCGTGGAGCATGTGTGAGTGAGCATGTGTGAGTGTGTATGAGCCAGCCACAGCGGAATATTACTGCCAAAAGTCACGTGACTGAGTCACGTGACTTTTGGCAGTAATATTCCGCCGTGAATAAAAAACAGTTTTGTAGTTGTAAAAAAAGTTGTGTACTTGTAAAACCTAAGCTGAATTTGTCTCTGAAACATGATTTATTAGAAAAATGGTATGTGTTTGTTTGATAGATACGTTTTTTCTTTGCAAAACTAAATGCATTAGTTTGTAGATGGTGTTTTGTGTTTGCAAACCACATTGTGTTTGTTTGTGAATCATGAGGCATTTGTAAAACCTGTTTAGTTTGTTTGTGGAGTTATGGCAGGAAATTAGCTCCATATCTGAGTGTTAGCATGCTAATGTAAACACAGACCATATTACTTCCAGAACACATCTCATTGTTTCTGACAGCAACGTTTCTGATTGGCCCGTGGGTGTAAAGCCCGCCCACATTTCCGATATTACGTCATATCGGCAGCAAATCTGGATCAGCTCCGTTGTTCCCCTGTTTTTAGAGATGTGGGTACGGAGGAAAAGAGAGAGGGTTTTGTTTTCTGACACTTTGTAAGTCTCCTGACACACCGGGGACACACCGGGGATACACCGGGGACACACCGGGGATACACCGGGGACACACCGGGGACACACCGGGGACACACCGGGGACACACCGGGGACACACCGGGGACACATAGTTATGGATAAAAGGAGACCTTTAATGAAAGGGGCAACATGTCTTCCACGATGTTTGCTATGTGCCCCATCTCCTCAGCCATGAACTCTGAGTGTAGCCCGAGCTTAAAGAGACGTTTGATTTAGTTTTCTGTCCTCCCGTTATGCAGAAAGTTGAAGAACTTAACGTAACGTAGGTAACAAGATCATTTCCTGCTCAGTAACTTAAATATAATTACTGCTGAACCAACAGTAAAGCGTTACACTACTGCGTTACAGACAAATGTAATCTGATTACTGTAACACGTTACTCCCAACAATGAAACTAATAAATCATTATTTTCATTCCAGGGGAGGTTCTTCTGATTGGCCGTTTGCTAGGACTCAGAATAAAACATCTGGAAATGAATCAGTTTATTTATTCATGATGTCACTTCCTGTGCTAAATATAAGACACATCTGTGTGAATGTCATAGGTCATAGGAGCCAGTTTCTACCTCCTCTATCAGACTGAGTGCCTCTCCATACCTGAGCGTGTCCAGTCCAGCAGACAGCAGCCTCCCACCTGAGTCTCCTGGATGATTGTAGCTCAGGTCCAGCTCTCTCAGATGGGAGGGGTTTAAAGCTGAGGCCAGAGCATCACAGCCTTCCTCTGTGATCAGACAGCCTGACAGCCTGCAGACACACAAACAAGCCGTCAGATCATCTGAGGGTCCAGGACTGGGAGGGGGGGGGGGGCTTATTACTGCATCACCTCTGTGTCATCTCTACACCTAAAACTCCAGTCACTTCTTCACAGTTCAGATGGACAGCCATGGTAAGGGTCTTCTTGATTTGAACAGATCATCAAACAAAGGAATAGAGAATGATGTGAACAAAGACTAGAGAGGCACTTGTGCTTTTGTTATATTGTATAATAGTAGTAATATATATGTAAACATATATCAAACAGAAGTGTTCATGTGTTAATAAGCCCAATTTTCAAATAAATTCAGTCAAAGTTGAAAACATTTTCTAACAAATCTTAGTTGATAAAATAAAAGCCCATTAACTTTTTTGCATAACAAACCCTTCCTATTTATCCTTATTATAAGCAATCTGAGGCTTCTGCCTTAAGGCGAGACACGGCAGGCAAAAACATCGTTTTTCCTGCACTGGTCAATTTTGAGATTTTGTGCTATTTTGATTCCATAACATGTTTTCTTTCAGGCTTTTGGAAGGAAAATGTACAAAATACACATTTAAGTGTTTATTTTACTATAGTTTGTCTATTTGCGTCTGTAGATTTCTCCTACATTTACCAAAAGTTAGCATTCTAACGTAACATAAAGTACCGCGACCACTGTTTGCACCATGTCTTCAGAGGTATCGTTGGAAAGCTCCGTTTCTCCTGCACAATCTCATCGGATCCAAATATGGTCATTTCCTTTGTATCAGCAACCAATCGTGAAAGTGCAAAGGGGTCTTAAACCAAGAAACGAAATCTCATTGGCTGGTGTCAATTTCTGACAACGTGATTCGTTCAGATGCGTCACGTGGTGTGCTAAAGCACTTCCTGGTTAGCTTTCCGCTCGAAATTTAAATCTGAAAATGGCAAAATAACGGAGAAAAAAACGTTCACAGAGAAGACGACAACAATTGTCACTTGCACGAAGCAAGGTTATACAAAAAACAAATGACCCCGAACATGAAATACCTTCACGGAGTGCGTCGATGCGCAAGCTGTCATCCAGATAACAGGAGGGTTTAGCTAGCGTCACACTGTAATCTTTAAAGGTTGTTTTCTCAAAATGAGTTTTTTCTCCTACTCTGAGTTCGAAATTTCCACTTCAGTAGCAGTTACATACACCTAACCTTCCAGTTGTATTCCTATCAATATTATGAAGGCTTTTACAGAAGGGTTTGGTCATATATAATTCATAGCCTGAATTATATAACATTTTATACCTAAAAACATGGCGAAAACTGATATTTTAGGGCTGTTGACAGTATTTTCTGATTTATGGAGTGATACAAAGAGATATCCAAAATCCCTTCTGTAAAAGCCTTAGATACTAATATGACTACAAAATGAAACAATAATTTTGATCCTGGCTTTATCCAAAGTTCAGATTTCGGTTCCTGAAATGTGTTAAAATATGCACATATTTCATGAGGTAATGGTTCATTTGGATATTTAAACATGCTATTTCAGAAAACTTGTAATACAAAAAACAATTGCCTTATTGTAAGTAATTAACTGGAGACATTTTTAGCTGATATCTTTAAGTTAAAAAAATTACCCTATTCACCTGGGGTGTCTCGCCTTAAAGGATGAGGCGCCAACAAAGGAAACCCTCTGGAGAGCTGAGATGTAGGCTGTGTTTTTTTGTTAAAGCATATTCAAGTATCAAGAATCATTTACCTACATTTGATTGATTTTGCTAACTTATAACTTACCTTATGAGGCGATATACCTCTAGTGAGGGCCCCAGCGCCTTTGCATATTTTTCTGTGTGTGGCCCTCAGTGGAAAAAGTTTGGACCCCCTGATCTTTAAAGAAGTTTGTGCCAATAACCATTTTGTGAATTGTGACAGATGTATTGTGTCTTGTTTCACTTCAATGATGTTATTGATGATGGTATTCCCACACCACAACAGCATGGCTGATGTTGGTATTGACTTTTATTGCTGGCTAAATCAAACTGTACTGTGCTCTGACCTGAGAGTCTTCAGTTCACAATGTGGACTCTCCAGTCCAGCAGACAGCAGCTTCACCCCTGAATCCTGCAGATCGTTGTTACTCAGGTCCAGATCTCTCAGACTGGAGGACTGGGAGCTGAGGACTGAGGACAGAGCTTCACAGCTTCTCTCTGACAGGTTACAGCCACTCAGCCTGAAGAGACGATGAGGACAACAGTTATTCAGAAGACAGCAGTGTATTAATAACTGATTCTCTAAATCAAATGATCTCTGTACTTACAGAGCTTTGTTGGAGGCTTTGACCACTGGCAGCAGCCTCAAAAGAGCCTCCTCTGAAGCAGAGTATTTCTTCAGGTCAAACACGTCCAAATCTTCTCCTGATGACAGTAAGATGAAGACCAGAGCTGACCACTGAGCAGGAGACAGTTTATGTGTGGAGAGACTTCCTGAACTCAGGGACCTGTTGGATCTGCTCCACTAGAGAACGATCATTCAGTTCATTCAGACAGTGGAACAAGTTGATGCTTCTCTCTGCAGACAGATCCTCCTCTATCTTCTTCTTGATGTACTGGACTGTTTCCTGGTTGATCTCTGAGCCACTTCCTGTCTGTGTCAGCAGGCCTCGTAGGAGTTTCTGATTGGTCTGCAGTGAAAGACCCAGGAAGAAGCGCAGGAACAAGTCCAGGTGTCCGTTTGGACTCTGTAAGGCCTGGTCCACAGCACTCTGGTAGAGATGTATTAGTTCAGGTTTGACTTCAGACTTCTGGGAGGTTGTTGGTTCTTCTGACAGCAAGTTGACTCCAGAGTTGATGAAGGTCAGATGGACATGAAGAGCAGCCAGAAACTCCTGAACGCTCAGATGGACGAAGCAGAACACCTTGTCCTGGTACAGTCCTCTCTCCTCTCTAAAGACCTCTGTGAACACTCCTGAGTACACTGAGGCTGCTCTGATATCGATGCCACACTCTGTCAGGTCGGACTCATAGAAGATCAGGTTGCCTTTCAGCAGCTGCTCAAAAGCCAGCTTTCCCTAGAGACTCCATCATCTTCCTGCTCTCTGGACTCCAGTGTGGATCTGTCTCAGCTCCTCCATCATACTTGACGTTCTTCACTTTGGACTGAACCACCAGGAAGTGGATGTACATCTCAGTCAGGGTCTTGGGCAGCTCTCCTCCCTCTCTGGTTTTCAACACCTCTTCCAGAACTGAAGCAGAGATCCAGCAGAAGACTGGGATGTGGCACATGATGTGGAGGCTTCGTGAGGTCTTGATGTGTGAGATGATGGTGCCGGCCTGCTCCTGATCTCTGAATCTCTTCCTGAAGTACTCCTCCTTCTGTGGGTCAGTGAACCCTCGGACCTCTGTCACCATGTCCACACACTCAGGAGGGATCTGATTGGCTGCTGCAGGTCGTGTGGTTATCCAGAGGCGAGCAGAGGGAAGCAGCTTCCCCCTGATGAGGTTTGTCAGCAGCACATCCACTGAGGTGGACTCTGTGACATCAGTCAGGATCTCAGTGTTGTGGAAGTCCAGAGGAAGTCGACACTCATCCAGACCGTCAAAGATGAACACAACCGGGAACTGATCAAACCTGCAGATTCCTGCGTCTCTGGTTTCAGAGAAGAAGTGATGAACAAGTTCCACCAAGCTGTACTTGTTCTCTCTCACCACATTCAGCTCTCTGAAGGTGAATGGAAATATGAACTGGATGTCCTGGTTGGCTTTGCCTTCAGCCCAGTCCAGAGTGAACTTCTGTGTTAAGACTGTTTTCCCAATGCCAGCCACGCCCTTTGTCATCACTGCTCTGATTGGTGCATCTCTTCCAGGTGAGGCTTTAAAGAGGTCTTCTCGTCTGATGGTTGTTTCTGGTCTGTCTGGTTTCCTGGATGCTGTTTCAATCTGTCTGACCTCATGTTCCTCATTGACCTCTGCAGCCCCCCCCCCTCTGTGATGTAGAGCTCTGTGTAGATCTGGTTCAGAAGGGTTGGGTTTCCTGCTTTAGCGATGCCCTCAAACACACACTGGAACCTCTCCTTCAGGGAGGATTTAAGTTTACGCTGACAGACTCCAGCAAAGGTTTCTGAAAGAACACACAACAAAAGATCATTTGGTCACACTGTAACTCTGGTTCTCTGAATAAAATATGGATATATGTTGGTCTCTTGAGACATCAGCAGAGGAGACATTTATCCAGAGTGTTAAATCTCTATAGAAACCCTCTTACTGCTGTGCAGACGGTCAGCCAGCTCCTCCTCCTTCATGCTCCTCAGGAAGTGCAGTGTGATGTTCAGGAATGCCTCTCTGCTCCTCCTCTGCTCTTCATCCTCAGCCTCCAACACCTCCTCATCCTCACTCTGACCCTCTAAGTATTCTGGGTAATCTGAACTCAGAGCCTTCTGGATCTTCTTCAGCTCGCTCTTCACAAAGGTGACGATGTGGTCCTCCAGCAGCTGGAACATCACATGAACGACACAAACTATAAACCATGGATCCAAACATCAGATCCGGACAGACTGACTCTCTAAAAGTGCAGCATGGAGATGACTGTGAGCAGAAGAGAGGTCAAGTATCTGTAGTACATGTACTCACCGTAAATATGGAGTCCAGCTGTGTCTGATGCTGCTGGGCAGACGGACCACCGGGAACCTCCGAGCTCTCCTGGTCCCCTCTGTGGAGGAATCATGAAGCATTAGCTCACATTATGTCTGTCCACACAGAGACACACTCAGGGTGAAGGAGGACAGGGGAACAGGCTGGTGGTCCTGTGCGTCAGCGGGAACTTTGCACTACAGGAATATTTATTTCCAGCTACTGTTGAAGACCAGAGGATTCTGTCCATCCTTCATTCTGGTCTTCCTGAAACGTGGCTGTGTGGATAGATAGTGGACTCTGCAGCTGGCTAACAGCTGTTCATCAGGAAAGGAAAGACCTAGGGACAGTTCTTACACCAGCCCCCGTTACCCCCCCAGCTCCACCTCCAGCACCATAGCAGGGGTCAGGGTTCACCTGGCAGTAGAGCTGGTTGTGACTTTGATGAAGGCTCAGTATCCTCCATCAGAAGTGTTTGTGAGATGGTGGAACAGCTTCTGAACAGCCTGAGTTTTCAGATGGAGTTTCACTGCCCCTCTCAGTGTGGACGTTCACAACTAAACACTTTGGACAAGAGGAGGGGTCGGACAGAGACTTTAAACAAACTGGTTTTATTTATTCTATCATAACCGGACTCTAACTGTGAGTTACAGCTTACTTCTGATCAGCAGATGGAGGTCGTCCTTTAAAGTTCATGAAGTCTTCCTTCGACCAGTCACTCTTTAGGGACAGACAGCTGGGAGAGTCTGGTCTCTGCTGCTGGACCCTGAAACAGAAACAGATGAATGTGCATGTGTGACACGTTTAAATATGATCAACTGAGACCCTGCTACTAGTTGCAAGGCATAGTAAAGTCATGGTCTGTAGGGATGTTTGAATATGTAATGACATTAAAAGATCATACTTTATATAGCTGCAGGGATTGACTAAAACCAAAAGTGGGTAATGAAGTTAAAATGTGCAACAGGATTAAAAATGGTTAGGCAGTTGTGTATCTTTACTCATACATTATACATTATACATGATTTAACCAAGGGGGAGCATGTAGATGGTGAAGGGAAGAGGGCCAAGCACCGAGCCTTGCGGCACGCCTTGGTTGACTGGGGCTGGAGGGGAGCTGGAGTTTCTGATGGTGACAGACTGTTACCTGTGAGAGGTATGAGTGGAACCAGGATAGAGCTGTACTCGTAAGGCCAAGGTAGTTGGATAGGCGGTTGAACAGGATGGTATGGGAGATGGTGTCCAAAGCTGCAGACATGTCTAGGAGGATGAGGATACTGATGTATGAACCAACCAGCTGGATTTGATCGAAGCTTCCATCAAATCCAGCTGGTTGAGGTCCAAGATGGCGGCGGGCAGTTTGGGCGCAGTGGCGGCGATCTATCTGTGCATGATTGTTCTGAATCTCGGGCCTCTGTTTGGCTGCACCACTCGTCGTCTTGCCCCCTTGGTGGAACAACGCGCGGAGGATGCATCATTGTTTGCACCGGCAACATGGCTGAATATCAAGCACTTCGGCCATGGTCGGCATGTAATCTACAGTACATTCATCTGGCACTCCTGGCAGACTCTCACAAAAAAGGGACAAAAACGAAAAAAGGAGAATATTGGGCTATTGGCTCTGCTCTGTCTGCTATGTCTCTTGCTCTCGGGAGATATCCACATGTGTCCGGGTCCCGGCGTCGCTTCCATCAACCTGACAGCTGGCGGCCCGGCCGCCGAGCTCCACACGCCGCCGGCCGGTTTCCGAAGAGGATGGCTAGCTGAACAGCTGGCACCACCGGTGGGTCTCTGCGGTCTCGCGCTGACGGCTGCCGACCTAGCAGCAGGACCTCTATCCACACCGTCGGAGGACTACGGGTCCACCCCGAAGGCTGGTAGCCGAGTAGCAGAGATCCACACATAACCATCTAACTTCAGAAGAGGCCGGATAGCTCCCACACCATCGGAGAACTGCGGGTCCGCGCCGAGGGCTAGCGGCCTAGCAATGGAGACTCACGCATCACCACAAACCAACAGCTAGCTCTGTCTGCTCCACTGTCAACAACGGCACAGAGGTAAAGCCTAAAATGTTTCAAACAGTGAATCAAGCAAAAACAGTGTGGGATCCTCGGTGCAAGCCGAAGGGACTTTTCAGTGGACATTTCAATTTCCGCAGCATCTGCAATAAACATGAACAACTAGAACATCTCCTCCTTGAGTCCAATATTGACTGTTTGGGAATATCTGAATCTTGGCTAAAACAGTCGTCACCATCCACTCTTGTATCGATGTCAGGATATAATGTGTTTAGGAAGGAGAGACTGAAGGGAAAAGGAGGGGGTGTGTTGCTTTATGTGAGGGATACCTTTACTTGAAGGGAGATTGCTCTTCCAGCTAATGTTGAGTTTGATTGTGTTGGTGTGGAAATCACACTTTCTGAGGAAATGTCCCTCACCATGATTTGCCTGTATCGACAACCCACCGCTAAGGTGGATTTCTATGACCAGGTAAAACTCATGCTGAATTCCTGTGACTCCAACAAAGAGCTAATTGTTTTAGGAGACTTTAACATAAACTGGAATGACAAACAAAATAGAAAGAGCTTAAAACGGATTACGGATAAACACAACTTAATACAACTAATGGATCAACCGACTAGAATAACCAAAACCTCCACGACTATGATAGATTTATTATTTATTAACAAAGCTGACAGAATATTTAAAACCTACAACTTCCTGACTGGTCTTTCTGACCATAATCTTGTTCTTTTTGCCAGGAAACTCACAAAAAAAGGTTCATGGCCACACCTAAAACCCCTGCCTTGGGTTCTCGCTTCATCCCCAAAAACCTGCAACAACGTTTTATGGAGGCAGTGAAAATGATTGATTGGGGGGACACTCTGTCCTCTGAAGATATTGGTGAAAACAGTCATCTGTTTATATCTAAAATTAATGACACAATGTCTTCCTTCTCAAGGACAGGGTCAGTTAGGGACAGGAAGGAACATCATCTTCCCTGGCTGAATCTACAGTGCAGGAATCTCATGAAATCTAGAGACCAACTATTAAAGCAGAGCTTGAAATCCGGACTATCCACTGACAGACAGAAATTCACTCATGCTCGTAACAAAGTGACTCAAACAATAAGACAGGCCAAAGCAAACTTTTTCATCAATATAATTGAAGGTGCGAAAGATAACGGTAAAAAAGTTTGGCGAACCTTAAAGGGGACCTATCATGCAAAATGCACTTTTGTACGTCTTTTCTACATGAATATGTGTCCCCGGTGTTCCAGGGAACTCACCAAGTGTCAGAAAACACAACCCTCTCTATTTTCCTCCATACCCAAATCTCTAAAAAAGGGGCTGCAACGGATCTGATAAAAACTGATCCAGATTTGAACACTGTCCTGACGTCAGTAAAGTGGCGCTACGGCTATTGGGCCAACTCTCCACCTATCAGGGGAATGTGGGGTTGGGCCATTGCCACTCGAAAGCGCTGGAGACGCTGTAGTACATATGCCAGGCCTGTAAGTGGCGCTGTAGTCTGCCACAAAAGCAGCGAAGAAGACTTCCCGCCCATAGTTACCATGGTTACCCTTCTGTTTATTCTCCGCTGTGGCTTTTTTTCTCCCTCCCCGAGGCAAGCGTTTGCTCCCGCTGCTTTAATTCAATGCAATCCCTCCCCGTCGAGGCAAGCACTGTAATTCTCTCCGGTTAGTCCACCAGCAGATGACAAACACCCACCTCTCCGCCTCTTCCAAGGAACGAGGGGACCGTGCGGCAGAGTTTCAGTTTCAGTTTCTTTCGCCGGTCAAGATGTCCATTAAAGTTGAAATCTTCCGGACAAAATTAGAAAAGTGCCGGTCAAAGGTCTTCTTTGTTATTTATTGAGCTTTAACCTCTTAAGCCCTGAGCCTGTTTTTCAGGTCTCAGGCTCGAAAATGACATTCCCAGAACAAATGACCATATCTTCCCTTCTAAAAGGGTTAAATTAATAATCTTTTTTCTCAAAGTAATGATAAACCTGTGAGTTGGATGTAGAAAAGTCAGAATCAATATAGATGTTTTTTATTTAAAGAAAATTCAGATTTTACATAGTAAAAAACTGTAAATTATAGTGTCCAGTCCAAAAATTCTTTTTTACTTATAATGAAAACTACCCTTGGATGATGGGTTAGTAGACTAAAAGCTTTAGGAATCCAAAGTACAACATATAATAAGTACCCTGTATCAAGATTGATGCAAAACAAGTGAAATTTGACCTTTTTAGAGAGATTTAGCCAAAAAACCCCACTTCTGGGGTCATTTGGGTGGATTTGACCTATCTCTGGCCCCCCTTGCTCGATTTTGATGAATGAAATCTCTTTATAACTGCTAGAGCCAATGGAATCGAGGGAAAGTTATATACACACCAAAACGTTAACAAATAAGGAGTGAGAGTGACGCGTTACCAAAACCGGAAGCTGCATACACTCTGGTGGCTACCATTAGCAGCTAACTTTTCCGCTCCGATTTTTACATAAAAAATGGAATTATGGATTATAAATAATTTCTTAAAAGGTACAGGTACATTATCAACCTATGGATCAACAGTTGTAGACATTTTATTTTTCGTTTTAATGCCATTGAACACGTCTTTTGACCTAATTGACAGCTACGGTGAGACGATCTGCCGTAAATGCTCCGTAAAGGTACGTGTTGTGATGTCTGTGTTTGCTTCCCCTGTCGCAAGTTCGGATCGCTCAGTGATGATACTATACCTAAATAATCAGTGGAGTCTCAGCTTTAATCGGCTATATTGTATGTGCAGCTACGATAAGTAATTAGGGTATCTTTATCTTGAATTGTGTGCCGCAGTGCGTTCGAATTTTTTCGCTCAGGGATCATTTAGACGCTTCTTATGAGACTTGTGTTTTGTTTTGGTAAAAATGGTTCATATCTTCAGTTAGCTGAGATTCTTCCCGTTAATCTGGTGCTACACATTAATAGTTTCATAAATGTTAAAAAGCCCTGAGACATTGTCTCGAAAAAAAAACGGTGGGAGGGATTCAATGGGGGGACCGTCGTGCTTAAGAGGTTAAAACAAATTAATAACGACTCGATATAATAATATAATAAAACACGGAGGACGGAGATCTCTTTTTCTCCCCCTCTTCTGACTTGATCAGAGCACGCTCCCCTCTCCTGCAGGGGGGCGTGGTCAGCTGCAGCTCACAGAATCAGCCCTCTGCAAAAACAGGGCTGGAGAACAGCAAAGAGAGCGAAATGAGGCATGGCTAAAATGCATGATCTGTTTGGTATTTTGAAAACAGAAACGTATAAATATACCTTATATAGGTATGGCCCTACAATATATCATTTAAATATAGCATGATAGGTCCACTTTAAATAAACTATTAGGTAATCATACCAAACAGGAAAATAATGCTCTCGAATAAAAAATCCATGAAGCCCTGATAAAAGACCCTGCAGTGTTGGCCAGCTCTCTGAATGAGTATTTTATAAATAGTGCTCTGGACATCACAAAGCTCTTCCCGCCATCTGAGGTCTCACCTAGCCCGACTGTGGATACACATCCAGTTTTTGACCTGGAGGAAATCACAGAGGTGGAGGTAAGAAATATAATCTCAGGGTTAAAAGGTTCTAAGGCTAGGGATGCAGATGATTTAGACACCAACTTCATAAAGACACATATTGACGGTCTAATAAAACCAATTACTATGCTAGTGAATCAATCTATCAGCACGAGGGAAGTTCCATCATCCTGGAAGGTGGCCACG